GGTAAACAGCCAATGCAGATCTTTAATTTCATGCATTATGTGATCCTTGTACATGCCCCAGCTAGCAGCCTAGTTCCCATATTTTGCACTGTATTCTGAACACTTTTCAATGGTAGCCCATTGCAGTAAAAATTACTGCTGCTAGTACACTAGGTGTAATCGTGCAGAAGCACTCCTAACTACAATTCCTTCCTATGAATCCAGTAACAACTGAGGATCAGGGAGCACTCCCGGACTTCAGACCTCTTGGTTTGAGTTGATCCTCAGTCCCACCAACACCTGCCTTCAATTCTACATTAAAACTGATTATATTATAGAGTATTTACATTACTCTATCATGTTACTAATGCTGATTTTCTTAAGAAATGGGTTTTTCAACTCTGGACTCCAATTTTTAATTTTACCTTTTGTGCCTAGGTATACAAGCTCATGTACTAAATGTGTGCGTGATCCATTGATAATGCTATATATGTAGTATTAGAGGTATGCCTAATTTTTTAAAATTAGGAGGGGCATCAGAAAAACAAAGGCTTCAGTTTCTGAGTTTCAAAAAACAAATACATAAATCTGTAGCCACGTGCTCTTTGCAATAACAAAAACAGCCTTTATTTAGCAGATCTGAGTTTCAGCATACATAACAAACAGCCCTATCAGATTAGTATTTTCCATTCCGTATTTCAGAAGGAGGGAAAGGAATTTGTTAGTGGGAGGGGCTTTCTAAAACACATGTAGTGACTTCATAGCACAAGGGTTAGAATTGAAAGTTGGGGATTTGTGATTTCTGCATCAGCTTTCTCCGATCTGGGTGCCCTCCAGTGTATGAATTTCAGTTTCCAGAATTCTTAGCAATGGCCATACTGGCTGGGGGATTCTGGGAGTTCACACATCTGCAGGGTACCTTGTTTAGGAAGGCTGTTTTAAACTGTATGTATATGAGCACTATATGTGAGATCCAAGGGAACTGGTTTTAAAGAAATGTCTATACGGGTCTAATTTAGAAGATAATTGAGCATGTACAGTATACTGCAATTGCTATTGGGTTCACTGGAAAAAACGCTTTCGGCTTGGGCTGATCAGCAGTTCATCCAAATGGCAGGTGGCGATGTGTAGCTTCCTCTTTTCCTCAAGTGAAAAGCAGCCTAGTCCTACCAGAGCTCCAATATTCCACCTGCCCGTTTGCCCGTCTTCTGCGTTACCTTTGGTCAAAACAGGCACACAGGAAACTGCTGTGTGGGTTTGTCCAAACAGAAATTCCTTTGAACTTTGGAAAGGAATTTAATTGGCTTGGGTTTGATGAATAAACATGGCTTTATTTGTAGTGAGTTTCTTGGTCTGTTTTGATTTTTGAATTCTCCGTTGGGACACCGAAATGTAAAGCGATATTGGGATGTCTGTTTAGGTTCACTCCTGAGCCTCGGCTTACAGTAAATATGAGTTTTGTCCCACCAAAGTATCACTTTACACAAATCTGCTTTTGTGAAGCTCAGCAAATAAACCTTTTGTAGTATATAAACCCCAAACTGCTGATTTGTTTACTGTTAAATATTTACTGTGAAGCTCTAGGGAGTTTTAAGAACTGGTTATTCTAGTTTGTCTCTTCCAGCAAATGCTGTAGTTTGTAAGATCTTTCTTATTTTTAGCCCTCTTGTCTTGATTAGGCAGGAAGAACTTAACATAAGCTCTAGTCTTCTTTTTTTTAAAAAAAGTATTAATTGTGTTTTCAAAATAAATAGCACTGCATTCTGGTGGGAATAGGGTACACAGAACTGTAATATTCTGTATCTATGTCACTTAAATTGACTGAAGGGAACTGAACCTACCACCTCTATGGAGGAGCAGGCCAACGAAATATATATTAATAGCCTTCAGTTTTCTATGGTTTTAGGCAATTGGTAGCATTTTTATTGAAGAGACATTAGGAAGAAAATAATTATTTTAAAATGTTATTGACCTTTCAGTACAAAGCAGATGAATAGTACCATAAAACTTTCTATCACCATATCCTTGCTTCAGCATTCTCCTTTGATAACATGCTCTTAATAAATTAAACTCAATTTGTTCTTTTACTAGACAATTCTGTAAGACAGAGTTAAGTTGTGTCTACCTAGGGAGTTTCATAGCTAAGCAAGCATCTTAATCCAATTATTGGTAATCAAAATTCAGTTCTGCCAGCCATACCATGCTGGTGCTGCCAATAACCTTTAAAACTTACAATCTTGTAGTAGAAGTTCTTGTAGCGCTCCTCATTCTATCACTGTCTGATTGCATTACATTGACTGGAAATGGCTTTTATATCTACCATTTTGGGTCAACACAACTCTTTTTTTTTCCAGGCAGAGCTACATGGGTCTGTGCCACCACTACATTTACTCTTGATTTGGAAACATTCATATATTCTGTGGTTTTATTAGGAACTCACACACTGACATCCAGAAAACTAGAGAACAGGGACATAAGTCATATCACACATAACAGTAAACAAGTGTTCCTACTAATACTGGGGATTCTGACTGGAAGTCCACAAACAAAACATGAGCACAATGGCAACTTCCCTATCATGTTCCCTCGCAGTTAGTGTACAGAGAGTTTGCTGCTTTGATGCTGAAGATAGCATATGTCTGTCATAAATAGTAGGCACCAAAAGCCTTTTCCCCCATGAAACTAACTTCATTGGCTTCTGTTACTGCCGTTGAATTGTTTTGTTATGATCCAGATTTAAGAAAGTAATTTTTTCCTCTTGTTTTTGGTTTGAAGGGCAATGCGTGCTGTTACATTTAGCACATTTGGCCAATAAAGAGAATGAAAGAATTTATGCCATTATGAATGCATTGGTGTAATTTAGCTGTCCCTAGTCTGGTGTCCCCAGATGTATGGAATAAGATTATGGGCTCAGGCATGAATTATCTCTGGGATATTTCAGGAAAGAGTGGGGGGGTAGATGGCTACCAATTTTGTGCTTCCCGATGATTTAGCTGGAGGGGGCTGCAGGCCAGCACATGAGCCATTCACAGCACTGTAAGAATGGTAGCAGTGAGGATAATTGTGATATTTTATTACATTTTGGGGGGGGGGTAAAAATAGTGGTTGTGTGAAATTGTTCATAAAGGAAATGTTTAGGAGTTAGTGGCTCAGTAAAAGGTAAACCTTTCTTCCAGCACTCTGGATACCATCACACCAGGATGAGTAAAATTATTTAACTTTTATTTTGTTAAAATTATATATTAAAATTATTTGCATTTAGTATTGTGCTGGTCCAACAAATATGCTTGCCCCCCTCTTCACCCCATTGCATCCACCACAAAATACCTAACTATAATTGTAATTATTACTGTTATTAATATCATTATTAATGGCATTTTAATGCTCCCATTCCACTAAAAAGCCACTAACACCTTACATAACAAATAATAAGTAACAACAAAAACCAACAAAAAATGGTATTAATGACATTAAAACAATTACTTTACAGGCCAAATTAAAATCTGTCAAGTTTCCTAAGTGCCAGGAGAGTGGGGGCTGCTTATAGTTTTGAAGTTGTGAGCGACAGAGAAGTCTCCCATATGCACAACAAGTGGGCAACAGCAAGCAACAGTGTCTTAGAAGGGGCCTCTCCTTGAAGTGGGACATCTACTGAATAAGGCAGGAAACCCCTTAGATAACCAGAGTCTACATTATTTAGATTCTAAAGACTGAAGCCAACATCCTGAAATTTTCTGGTTAGGGGCCAGTGCCGGATTTAGGCATAAGCTAAACAAGCCATGGGCCTCACAATCCGCAGGGCCTCAGAAAAATTCAAAATAGCAGTTTTCTGATTTAGCAAACAAGTTCATTATTACTTATATTAATAAGAGTGATCCTGATTACTTATTTTGTCAGCATTTTGTATATATATTAATGTATCTTGAATTTGTTTTAAAAATTACATTTAAGTATTGTTTCCAGGGCATATTATATATAAGATATACTATATTATAATCTATGAGAGAGATCAAGCCAGCCAAATGATAAATATGTAATCAGTAGATGCATTCAATTGAAAATAATTTGTATTTTTCTGTCAGGTTCAGCCCAAAGAACTCCACGAGACAGTACTGGTCTAGTCGATAGCTTTTATTAGCTTCCGGCCACAGACAGAATCCTGCCAGACTCAATCTAAACTCAGCAAGCCAGCAAGCCAAACCCCCGCGAATTCCTTAGGGTGGTGCCAGTCTCATCTTCTTAACCTTCCCACGCTCTTGCTGGGGGCTAAGGCAATGCTTATCTCCCCGAGCGTGGCCTTCATCGAAGCATTCCATCACATTTTCACTTTAAATACCTTGCTATTAAATAATTAAAAAGCATATATATATGTTTTCAATTTTTACTTTCTGGTGTAACTTTTTAACAAGGGGCCTCCAAACTTTATAATGTATAGCTTAAGGTCTCACCAAGTCTAAATCTGGCACTGCTACAGGCTGCCACATAGAAACGTATTGGGCATCAGCAAGCAGCAGTGTCTTAGGAGGGACCTCTCCTATATCTGGTGTTGTAATCATAGAGCAGGAAACTTGCCAGATCAGGCTGGTTCTTGACCAGTTGTAGATGGACTACAGATCTGGATAGTTGTAACATCCTCAGAGTTCTGAGATAGAGAGAGTGGGGGGAACAAGAGAGAGAGAGAGAGAGAGATTTTCTTCCTTAGTAGCCTGAAATTCTATGTGATGTATTCCAGCTGCACTCAGTCTCATCTCTCTGGGAAACTGCAGATTTTCCTCTTCTTTTTCTTGTATAGAATGATAGTGGTAGCCCCATGATTCATGCTTGATGGAGGAAGCCAGTAAGACAAATTATTACATTTCTTCCAGACCTTGTTGCAGAACATGTGGTTACCGCATTTTTCATTCATACCCAACCATTGAGAATAGAATACATTGTATAAAAATGTAACATTCTACAATTCTTTCCTGTAGGAACCATATTAAACCCCAATAATTGCTTATCTCACTTTCTCTTTTCAACAGCTTGCCCAAATTGATTCAAGAGCAGTACAGCTTGGTTCTCTCTTTATCCGGGGCTTGGGTGTGCTGGTGATGGCCAACAGTGCCTGCGGATTCCCCTTTCGAATGGATGATTTAATGCCATGGCATGTATTTGATGGAAAACTTTTTCAAGAGAAATACCACCAAGCTCATAGAGGATGCCCTTTACATCAGCTCCTGGAACATGATGCAAGTATACAGTCTTGGTTATACTTAAAAATTGACTCGTCCCACCCAGTCCAGCAGGAAGGGTATGTTACAGACCCCATCACCCAGAGAGTTTTGACTGACGGGGTCCAGGAGGAGAGCCTTTTCTGCCATGGCTCCCAGCCTCTGGAATATCTTGCCCCTTGAGGTGAGATTGGCCTTCTGAAAGGGCGTTAAGACCTGGCTCTGCCAACTTGCACGGGGACCCAACAGGGGTTTGCAGCACTGGGGTGGCTGGTAGCTTGTGGACGCTCTCTCTTCCTTTTTAGTTGCACTGTAGTTTTCTCTTTTTAGTTTTAATGTTAAGCTTTTGCCGTTTTTAACCTGTATATTTTTTATAGTTTTTTACTTATAATGCCGCCTAGAGTCACTTGTATAGTGAGATGGGTGGCATATATAAATTTGAAGAATAAATAAATAAATAAAATCAATAAAACATGTATGTATGTGTGCATGTATTATGCATATATTATATTTAGCTCCTGCAACTTCTCAGACTTTCCTGTCTAATATAGAGAAATGGATCCAGCTTTAGTCATAATTAGAGTAGACATAATGAATTCAGTGGGACCTAAGTTTGCCGTGATCTTCTCTGAGCATTACTAATCATGGGTCTAGTTTTATAAGTGCTGTGCAGTCATGGAATATTTGGAATCTCTTTTAAGTTCTTAGAAAAATTATGTTTATAAAGGATGGACCAGATAAATGCCAAAATGTTGATGCAAAGATAACTCTCCACTGGAGAGCTGATATATTGATATTTCAATGTATTTCATAAATATGAACAAAATGCTTCTATCTGAAATAAATGATCAGTTGCAAAAGCCCAGGCTTTTATAAATTAAAATTAGCCTTTAAGATACCAGAGGCTGTGTTTACACATAGTTCTAAATCATGATTTAATAGTTCACGGATGAGTCTAAGATTCATGCTCACCATTTCAGTCTTTTCCTCATGTATAAGGAAGATTAAAAACTGTTGAGTTTTGATTAATTCACAGTTAGACAATAAGCCATTTTTTAAAATGAGCCATACCCGGAATTGGATGTGCTGAATGCTGGAAGAGGAAAGTAGACAAGCTACTTTAGTCTAACCATATTTTGTCCATCTCTTTGGATAGACTAGGGATGGACTGGTAACTATGGCTACTAGCACATACTTTTGTGTTTAATATCTGAACCAAACCTTAATGATTTCATTTTAATTTGCCTTAAAAGGAGTGAAAATTTGTCAGAGTTACCAATGCTTCTTCACCTACAGGAATTACGATGCACAAAGTTTCAGAATCTGATGACCCTTATTTGCAAAGTAGGCTCAGCAAATGGAAGGAAAATCCAGAGCAGACCACAACCAAACAGCTTGATGATGAGTACGTGTTATCTGAATTCTTCAGAAAATCCACTGCGTGTCACTATTTGTCACTCATGAGAATATATCCTCCTTTGCCAAAGCATCACAGTACTGTGCAAAAGATTTAGGCAGGTGTGAAAAAAAGCTGTAAAGTAAGAATGCTTTCAAAAATATATATTGTACTTGTTTATGTTTATCAATTTACG